GAGAAGTTCAAGTTAGGTAAGGTGACTAATGAGTTGAGCAAGGGCATAGAGGATCAACTCCTTGACTACTGCCACGTCCAAGACCCGAATGAGAAATAGTTAAAGAAATTCGACCAGGGTGATGGAATAGAGACTATGGAGCGTGAGATCCACCAGTTGAGGTTGGATTTAGAGGCATAGGATCGTGCATTGCAGGATGCTCAGGATGTTAGGGATCGATGGATGCGAGAGCAGTTTTCTATGCTTCTTGATGCAGTTCGTGGGGTGAGACATATAAGGCATGCTAGCGTCTAGGCGGATTTTGACGCGACCTTGATGAGTGCTTCTGAGGAAACCCTTACTGATGAGCAGACCGAGGTTCGCGAGGAGGTTGTGATAGAGGTTTCCCCGACTAGGGAGGGCGAGCTGATAGCGGCGGTTGACACATCTGGTGTCGCACTACAGGATCCATCAACATCGAGGGATGAAGCTCACGACCGGTCCTCGCCACCGCCAGAGTGATAATGAGGGAGTTTCTGATACCCACTCTACTTTTGATCTTGCTTATTTGTATGTTTGTGATATTGTGCAACTGAGGACAGTGCACATTCTTGAGTGTGCGGTGGGGTGTCATATTGTGATATTTTTGCCATGTGCTTAATTGCTAGTGATATATTTTTAATTGCATGATCATACTAACGGCCATTGTAATTGTATAATTGTAGTAGTTTTTTCAGTGGCCCAATCCCGTATTTTCTTTAAACCACGGTTCTTTCCCGAGGATGCCATTTTCTTGAACCGGGTATTTTTAGGTAGATTTCTCAAACTTTGTAATTAAATTTGTGGACTTTTTCCGACGACGGATTTCCTAGACAATTTTCTTGAGGGACTAAAGTCTAAAAAAAATACAAAAAGATTTTTTTTTTTGTTTTGTCTTCTTTCTTCTCTCCCCTATTCTTTTCTTGTTGAACTAATAATGGAACGGGAGAGCTTGAGTAATCTGTATTTTTGACATATTTTATATCGGGGCTTAGGTCCGGAGCATTTGCGCTGAGTACTTTCTTCTTAATTCTTGTGACTATATGCCTTGAGAGTAAATGTGACTTTCTTTTGACACTTGGGCTCGTCTATTGACTCTGCTGTTAATTCCTAGTGTTTGAATGATATGAGGACTGTGCTAGTTACTTTAACTTGATAGTCGGGTCTGAGCCGTCCTGAGTAAGTCATTTGCATTGTGTGAGGTGAGATTTTAGTTGTACTCTATGTCATCCCATGTTAGTATAGAACTTGCCCCGTATGTGAGTCGAAGCAAAATGATTAAGTCTTGTGAGTCTAGGAAATGATATAGGCATTTCTTTGATTGATCCTTCAGCCTATATGCCTACCACTGATAACATTATCCGTAGTCAGCCCTTTTGAGCCTGCAGACCTTTTTCTTTGGCACCCATAGTACGAGCCAACCCCTATTTTGTTCTAAATTATATATTGTTCACCCTTTACCTTCGAAAGCACTTAGTCGCTGAAAAAGTGAAGGAATAGATTGGGTAGCTTTTGAGTGGAACCATAAAAAGGCCGAAAAGGTACACTTCTAATTAAAAACCTTACTAGCCGGAAATACCAAACTAAGGAGAGTGTCAAAAAAACAATGGCACTCCCATATCTTTATTCGGGCTAGTGAGTACCTATATGTTGACGTGCTTAATGAAAAATGGCGTAATTGTGTATGGTTTCTTGGCAAAATATTGAGTTGGTCATGACAAGAATGTGCTTGAAAACGTGGTGTATTAAAGTACTTAGGAGGGTTGGTCACTATTTTCCTACATACATATATATATAGTATCATACCCGTCCCTTAGCTTACATTACAACCTATAAAGTCCTACTTGATCCTAGATTTTACAAGCTTAAATTAGTCGAGTCTTACACTACGGGCAAGCCTATGGTATGAACATGGGTGGCATATGAGTTTCATTGCGAGAGTGAGTGAATTATTTCAATATTTGAATCCTTAGATTACACTTGAATTTATATTTGAGTGTGTGGACTATTTCTCTCTGTGGTTTGTTGGTAAGGGCACATGATTTGCGAAGGATTGGTAAAGTCCTTGATTTTTGAGTTAGCACAAGAAGCAAGTCATATAATAGAATGTATTAGAGTTAATTTTTGAGGTTAGGATGTGAGAAGAGTCACACAAATATTTTAAATAGTCGTGGCATTGGTCTAAAAATGTGAAAAGATGTCAATCTCTTATGCTGGGTTCTAAGCGTTGATATAAACCATTGTCATTGCTCTGATGCTTGAGTATGCTTTGGAATTGTGTTACTTGCCGATGTGCTTAATTTTGAGTTGCTCGAGGACGAGCAAGAATTTAAGTGGGGTGGTGATAAATGACTAAAAATGCATATTTTCTAGTATAGTTTCATATCATTTTGTATGTGAGTTGTGGGAAATCAAATGTTTATAAATGTGAAATATACTCATTATGTGTGTATCATGTGTAGGAGTAAATTTGCATGGAAGTTGGCAAGAATTAGATGATTTGATGCAAAAAGATAGAGTTGCAAGAGCTGGTTGCGTGCCACAATTAGTGCATTGCGTGAAAGTAGGCGCGAAATGGCTTAGAAAATAAATAAAAAAAACAGCGAAGTATGGAGGTTGGCACTGGACCTGGCACGCAAAAGAACAAAGGAAAAGAAGAAATAACTGGGAGCGTGCCAGAAGTCGCGCGTTGCACCAACTCTGGCACGTGACTCAGCGTATTATTTTGTGAATTAAGGGAGATCAAGGATGCCCCACATCAGCCCTATTCGGTATAAATACAACTTCAAGCTGTTTTTTAAGGGTACACAATATTTTGAGAGGCAAGAACATACAAGGAGCAAAACGGAGAATTCTTCTACAAGTTTTCACCTTCTTCTTCTTATTTCCATTGTTGGTTATGACTTTCTATATTGTAATCTTGCATAGTAATATGAGTAGCTAAACCCGTCATCTAGGGTTGATGGAACCAATTGTTGGATGAAGTCTTGATTGCGTTTTGATATAATTAAGCCGTTTTATTCTTTAAGTGTTCAACTATGTGTTTCTCGTGGTTAATTGAAGGGCCCTTGATTAATCGTGTCTAGTTATCTTGTGTTACTTGAGAGAGAATACTTGAGTAGATTGTTGTTGAACAACGCCACTTTTGAGTAAGTTAAGAGATTAGTTACTTGAATTTAAAAGCGGGATTAGAGATAACGAAGCTTTGGCGTGTTATTTATGAGTTGTACGAATTGTCAGCTAGAGTAGTTCGAGAGAATACTTTAGTAAATAACGTAATTGATCGAGAGATGATTGCGGTAAATAAGAACTCATTATCTTTAGAGAATATTGCGGCGAGATTATAGTTAGCGTGTAAGGAATTAATCCGACAATTGGGAAAATCATAAACCTTAGATCTTTTAATCCTTGAATTCAACTTCATTCTTGCTCATTGATAGATTTTATTGTCATTTGTCCTTAGTTAAATAATTTCTGTTAATTCTCAAATCAAACCTTGAACTCCGAAAGTTGTCTGAGCTTATCATTAACGATACTAAAAGTTGTAGCAAATAGGTTAGTTCCCTGTGAGATTCGACTCCGCACTCTTGAATCGGATTATTTTTGCAACGACCGCTTAATCCTTTTATAAGGCATAGTTGGGAGTGACCAGACTCCTTTTTGAGTTCATATGCCTTTAAAAAACTAAAGCAAGACAAAACTTACCAAATTAAATGATATAAAAATAACACAAGAACTAACGAGTTAAACCAAGATTGCAGGCATCAAAATTCATATAAAATTCAAACATATTAGTAGGTCTCTTCGATTCCTAGCTGACTTTTGAAACTCAGGCAAAGGACCAATTCCCAAGTGGTATTCAGCTTGGCGTTTTTACATAACGCATAACTCCAGTATGGGTTCAATACCTGACCCCATTTGGTTGCATGTGGGAGCATAAATTTCCTTAGACCCTTTAGGATAGCTCATACCCTTCCTCCCTCGTATTTCTTGATAGCTTTAATAGACTCCTTCCCATCCCTACTGTTATTCACTTTAGAATCTCTTTATCTCTTTAATATCCTTCTTTTCGGAAGGGATAGTAAATATTCACATAGCTCAAACAAGTGCTAAAATACCAAATGTTACAAACTCAATGAACAAGACAACTAGAGCAAATATGCAAAAGAAGCTAAAAGTTATTAGTGATTAAAATTCGTACAACATTCTATATCCAGACCATCTACAACTTTGACATTAACACTCGAGATTAACTTTGACACTAGTCCTCGAGATTTCCTTGTACATGTACATCATATAACGTTGACATATAGTCCTCCAGATTTCCTTGTACATGTACGTTAAATGTATGCGCATGCAGAGAGAAAGGAAAGAGAGAGAGAGAGAGAGAACATTCTACAATAACCATATCACTCGGGCATTTACAAAAAAAAACACCATGCCTTTTCAGAAAAAGGACAACCTCCTAGAATAAAAGTCCATGACCTTTTAATACTCTTCTATTAGAGCGTCTCTATTTTAAGATTATATTTTTTTATGAATTTCAAAACAGATTGAACTAGCAGATGATCAACAGAAAATTTTATTGTCAGAAGTTCATTGTCAGAAGTGAACTTCTGACAAAACAATGAGATATCGTTTAATTTTAATTCTCAGCTTCAATAATATTCCAGTACCCATTACAAATTGCCTCCCGTTGATTTAGCCTTTTTCAGTTTCACACCCGGCTCCGCTAGAGGATGATACTTTTTTCTTGTGTTGCTTAATTCGCACTAAATGAAGTTGCATCCTGTTTTTGTTTGTATTACCACCTCATTTTCACGTGTCCCCCCAACGTGTACCATCACATTTTCACAATTTGTGTGTATAATGTGCCGCACAGATGCAGATTAAACATTTCCTTGAGAGGAAATGGCATGCACCATATCCGTTTCGGTAAACGGAAAGGGCAAACAATAATCATGTAGAGGAGATCATTAAACTAAAAAGACAACTAGACATTCAAGTTAGACGAACTGCACAACATATGAAACCAAAAGAGACAACATAACTACATGCATGGTCCCCATTACGATAGTACCTAGCTTAAGCTTATATAAACTAGAAAGCTGAAAACACATACATCCTAGAAACTAGACACATGAGAAAGAAAAAGACCCTTTTATTAACACAGGGAAGAGGACCAGAGGATTAAAAGACTATCGTCTTCATCAACTTGTTCAGCTCTTGGTCTTATACTTTGACTCGTCTATCTCTATTCCTTCTCGCTGCGCACGCTCCCCGCCGGCCTCTTCGCCGGTGCTCAAACCTCCCTTGCGTCCCATTTCCTGGTAGCCTTCACTTCCCAACTGCTCCTTTCTCGTCTGCCCTCCTCGGCTCCTCCCTATTAAAACAAAAATAGCAGTACATATGTAATAAAAAGAAAAGAAAATGAGTATGAAAGAGAAACAGTTGCTCAAGTAAAACCGTTGATATACCCTCAGCAAGGTGTTCCTGAGCTTCAAGACTTTTCCCACCGGTGCCACCTGGAACTACAGTTTCTCCTTCCTTTGCCCTACGGTTGAGTTCAGACTTTTCTTGCTGTGACGCCATTTCTTCTTCCTTTGTTGTTTAGAACTATGTCGTTGTGAACAGAAACAAAACAAAGTACGGTTTCTAGTACGATTCACTCACTGCAACACCTGATGACGAAACGGAGAATTTGGCTGCTCATTTATAAAAGGGGAGCAGGGGATAATGGTGTTGAGCAGTTGACGCGTGGAGGTTAACGCGGCGGTTCAGAGAGAAAAAACGAGAACAACTCAGCCTTGATGTAGTAGGAAGAATGACACGTGTCCGCAAGGGTGATAGTATGCTCACACGCTCTCGCTCCGAATACTTAGCTAAGCCTAAAAGCTGGAAAGCACGAGAAGGTTATCGATATCTGGAGACAGGAGATAATATCCAATAAAATCCAAACCGATCAAGGAACGCGGCGGTTATTGAAGTATAATGAATAATTTAATTTCTTTTCTTCATATTTTAAAAATGGATCACTTTTACTTGAACAGTGAATGGTACTTTTAAAATAACGAAAATACCCATTAATGTTTTAAGCTAAGGATGTATCGGAAACATCAATTCTACCTCAAACAAGATAGGGATAAGATCTGCGTATATCTTATTGTTTCTCCAAAATACACACACAAGTATATACGATCAACAAGTAATATAATGATGAGTAGAGTGTCGAATCCACAGAGACTTGTGTTTCACTACCTCCTAATTTCACTCAAATTGTTATACAGTCGAGTCAATCAAAGTTGAATTATGTGATTATAACTAAGAAGAGAATGTAACAATTAACTAATTTAGGAAGCAGGAAATGGTTGTCGAGAATTCAGTAGAAATAAACATTCGAGGGTTGTGATCGATTTACCAATCCCATTGTGTTATGATTAACTCTCCTTTTCATGCAATTCACTTATGATTGCTAATTAATCTAGTAATTTCTCTTATAGCATTCTCCCAAATCACTACTCACCTATTCAAAATAGATTAACGCCTATGTTCCTATAGAATCAATCAATCAAGAACGCATTAAGATCACGATATTAAAATAAGTATGGTGATTAGCTATATTCCTATCCTAGCCACAAGTTCGCACCTCACTTTAGAGTTAAGATCATGCCCTCTTCAGTTCTTCTCTAATCTAAACGTAGTTTTCCCAAGCATAATTAAGATAGTTGATAGAACTTGATCGTTGGCCAGACAATTGAGCAATTAAACACATGATTGAAGAAACAACCATATATTAGCGAATTATATTCAAGAAAAAATCAACTTCAAACAATAATATTCATGGCTAAATCACAACCCCAGAACTAATGGGTCTTAGCCACTCATGATAATGTTAAACAATTTCACAAGTGTTTGAATAATTAAAAATACTAAGAAAGATGAAGAAATAACTGAGAATTCTTGCTTCCGAGTGTTCCGTGCTTGTGTTTTTCTCTCAAAGTGGCGTCTCTTCCTTCAAAATAGGTTTAGACTTCTTTTTATATGAGTTGGGGCGTGTAGGGCCGAAAAAACTTGTCCTGAGCGAAGTGGGAAAAGTCCCCGCCACCCAGCGTACAGGGCAGCGCATCGCGCTAGCCTGGCACTAGGCTGTGTGCCAAAAATTAACGCGTCTGGTTTTAGCTTCAAATCGTGCACTTTCGTCCCATATTGAGTCCGGGTGATCCCTACATATAAAAATACCACGAATTAGCATAAATCATTACATTACACATATAATTTCTACGAAATATGAGTAAAATACGAGGCGACATGCATATAAATACACATACTTTAAGCCAAATATCAACACCCCATACTTAGACTCTTGCTCGCCCTCAATGTAACTTTTTACTACACTCCAACAACTTTAGACATTAACTATGGAGGAGCACTTCATTTTCAATCATACACTCTACCCTTGACTATGGTTGATACCGACATTTAAGCATAAGCATACAAAATCCACATTCTTCATGTTCTAAACATTCCAAAGTATAAGCGTTTCAATTGAACCAATTCAAACAACATACCCATAACCACATTGCCTCAAAAGCCAACTCGTTATCACTAAGCACCCTCAATTCGCGTACTCACCCAACGAGAGAAGTTAACAACATTACCAATTCGTCATGAGACCATGCGCCCTCACCAACCAACAAGAGAGAGAATATAAAAATAGTCCACACATTCACTTATAACTTTGAAAATAATTTAAGGGCATCACACAATCGAACAAAAGTCACTCACTCTCGCAAAGAAGTTCATGTGCATTGCGTGGTCGTACCATTAGCTTGCCCGTAGTGTATATCTCTACTAATCTAAGATAGCCAAGCCTAGGATCAATTAGGTCTTTTCGGGTTGTAATATAGACTAAGGGATGTGTAAGATAATTTTGGATATTAGTGGCTAACCATCCTAAGCACTTTAATACATTACACGCAACATTCAAGCACATATTCTTCTCAACCAATCCACCTTTCCACAAAATCATACTCACTTAGACCTTTTTTCATTTAAGCACTTCTATATCCCCACTAACATGAATTAGAAAAATTAAGAGGTGTATTTTCTTTCTCTTTTTGAATATCTGCATTATCCATATTTTTTTCCTTGTATTTTTTTTCTCTTTTTGTTTTTCTACACACACTCCTTATATTAAAGTTCATCGACTAAAGGCTGTTGATACCCAATTTTGCCCTCATATTTTTATAAATATTCTATATACTTTCCAAATATCATTTCTGCATCATCACCAATTTACAAGAGTCATATAAGTATTTTATGTAATTTCTCATAATTTTTGAGGTTTTAAAATTGAATTTACTTCCATTTAAATTACTCAAATAATTATTAATTACTCCTTCAAACTATTTTGCGATGACTTAATCATCCAAATTTATTGCTTACACCTATATATCTGCCTTACAATATTTCACTTTATTTTATATAATTACATCTGCATTTGTGAACTACTTACGCAATTTTGCAATAATAGCCTATATTCTATATATAACTGCATTATTTTCACAAAAACAACATTTTATATTTTTATTACGTTAAGCTATTATTTTTAATTATTTTATCGTATATGTAATATTTTTATTATTTATAAATTACTTTTATAAATTATTTTATATAGTTTTCGTGTATTTAATTGTATAGCCCAATATAGGGCTAATTTTGGACCAAAACTAGACCCATCTCTATTAAACCCCTTAACAACCCAAATCAAAGTGCCCCTTCATTTAACCCGGTCACGTCCCATTTTAAACAACCCACCCCACTAATTCTTCTATCTCAGCCGTTGATCTCAGAGATCAACGGCCCACAGACCCCCTCTCCTCTTTAATTAACCAACCCCAAACCCTAAAGACCCATTCCCCATCTCCGCCGCCCCTAAATCCCTTCTACTCTCGAATGTTCTCTCGTCTCTAAAAGAAACCGTAGTAGCCGCCTCTAATTCTCTCTGATTCCAACCTAAATATGGAATCAGTCCATAATTTACTTACCTATTTTGAGTTACTACTATGGTGTATACACGCTTTTGGCGTTACTTAGAGTTTTTGCCTTATTTTTGGCAAGAACTATCTTCCGATATTTGGTTTGGTCGACTCTGATTCGGTGGAGATTTGGACGTCATCTCGTCTATATACATCATACAAGGAAGGATCCTTGATTCCTGGTTCGATTCTCATACGCCTGGACCCAACTAGGGTTTGAGAATCTCCTTCTCCTTTGCCGATTTTGATTGCATGCAATATATTCTTTCCTTCTTTGTGTTTGATTGATAATTTTCCATGTTTGTCTGCTTAATTTGAACACTATATAAACTCCTCTCCTAATTCCCTTTAGACAGAGCTTAGTCACTGAAATTAACCATTAATACTCCCTTATTCTCCCATTCTATATTGTTCTGAACTTTGGCTCTTGGACGGCTGAAAGCCAAGGCCACCGAAATTTGACTAGTTGACCTTTCTTAGTGCGAGCACTGCCCGGGGTTCATCTGAAACCCCTGGGTACTCTGACGCACTAAGATCATTTTGGATTGTGATACTTTCTATTGACGTTTGAAGTACCGCCGAGACTGTTCTACCTGTTTATTTGTTCGTCAATTAATAACTGGTAAGTTCTTTAACCTTAGCAGTTCATCCTCTTTTGTTTGTGTTCATATTCAGTATATTCATGCCATTGAGACTTTTGTGAATCAATATGTTCCTATGTCATCTAATTTTGCAACCTTATTGACTCTGAAGTTGTTTTGTGACTCTGAACTCTTTTTCTAGCATTTGAACTTGCCTACAATTCCCAACTCTTATATCTGTCTATTACATGTGTTTAGTATGAATGATTGTTGACTCTCTTAAGCATGTTTACCCTAATATGTGTGTTTGAATGCTTATTACCTGCTACTCTCCCTGATTTTGTCCCCTACTTTGTTCTGCATCCTTATGATAGACCAACTCATGTGTTTAATGTATCTGATACTCTACTGCGACCAATTCTTAACTGTGATGTAAGCCAATTATGAGATTTACTGTGTTTTCCATGCTTAGTTCAATCCTGTGTTGTTTAAATATACTTATAGTCTATAGGGTGAAATGCAATATCCATCTTTATGTGACAATCTAGTTCTTAGTGTGTTTTTGCCTATTGATAATTCTGTGTCTACTAAACTCGTTTAGGCTGCTATGTTATGTTGATGTTTGTTGTCAATACTGAATTTGCTTTCCTACCCTGTCCTGGATTGTTAGGTCACCAAACTCATGCTTAGGAAGTAATTTAGTCCATGCCTAACTTGTTACTCTTCTGGTTATGCTGTTCATGAGGACCTGTTATTATGCACTTGCGATTCTATTATGCGTTTGCTGACTTGCTCAATCCTGCATTCCTTTGTACCAGTTAAGACCTTAGGAGTAAATCTTACAACTGACCTTCTTTCACCACATATGGCCAAATAGTATTAGAATTGATGCTTGCTTCTCCTACTGTGGAAGCTTGATATTGTCTTTTGTACGGTGATTAATGTTTAGCACGATAACTTTCTATTGTTAAGTAATTGCTCGACCATGAACCTATATTGTTAGTCTTTATGTTAAACTTACTATATTGAGGTTGTTCTCTATTGCTCCCTTAGCTTTCATGATCAGATCCCCTGTTTGA